TAGAAGATCTGATAACTGAACGTTGGTCTGGAACACCATCCAGGTTTTAGATTGACCTCTGGGTAGCACATAATGAGAATGGGCAGTAAAGCACTGTGAAGCCTTTGAAAACCAAATTGGCAATTGAACCACGGCCCACAAACGTGGGCTAGGACATGTATTCTGAACCTAAACATGGTGCCTCTGCTAAAATTGATTTAAATAGGAACCAGAATCTCATAATACTCAACATAGCCAAGATACAATCCAAAGTTTTCATCATACCAAAACCTACAAAAATCTCAACGTGAATGAGAAAAAGTAATCAATAGATATTAACACCAAGAGAAACAGATATTGGAATTACCTAAGAATTTTCAAGTAGCTAGAATGAAATGTCTCCAACACACTACTGTGAACACCCATTAAACAAATGAAAAAATACAAAGTCTTGCCAAGAAATGGAACAAATAAGGAAGAGCCAAATGGAACTAAAAGTTCTTTAGACAAAAGAAATGATTTAAAACATCAACTTGTATACATATGAGGTCTGACAATTTGCGAACTTGTTGCAATGATGTTGTTAACCTTTTTTGATATCAGAGGGATTATGCATTATGAATTTGTGCCAACTGGACAAACAGCCAAGTTGACTACTTGGAAGTGCTAAAAAGGCTGCATGAAAAAGTTAGAGGACCTGAACTTTTCACCAATGCATGGCTCTTGCATCATGACAATGCACCAGCTCACACGGCACTGTCTATGAGGGAGTTTTAAGCCAGTAAACGAATAACTGTATTGGAACACCCTCCCTACTCACCTGATCTGGCCCCCAATGACTTCTTTCTTTACCTGAAGATAAAGGAAATATTTAAAGGAAGACATTTTGATGACATTCAGGACATCAAGGGTAATACAATGACAGCTCTCATGGCCATTCCAGATAAAGNTGTCAGACATCCTGCAAGGCAATGAGGATATAATCATAAATATCGTCCTTGATCTCATGAAGCTTACAGTCTGTTGGGGAAAACATATATTGGAAAGACAATTACAATATATTTATTTGTGATTGTATTGAGTTAAAAAATAAAGTAGTGACTATCTGTAATGGCCATTGTCAAAGCTGAGTGAGATGCCGAGTGATGTGGAGGGTCCAGCTGAGGCTGGAGATGATAATTAGTAAAGGTATCAGACCATATAGCCGTGTAATTGTTTCCAGCCAAGCCATACAACGAACACTTGGGAACAAAGGGGAATGGTTGGAGCTGTCCAATATTGGGATTTCGCAGGATGGTCACATGAAAAATATGAGGAAATGAGGTCCCTGACATTGTGGGGACACACATACAATTCCCAAGGACAGTTCTAATGCAAGCCTAAGGCCCGGAAGTCAGGAGATTTTTTTTCTGTTTCCCCAGATCCTGACTCTGCTAGTGATTGTGGTATGCACGTTTTTTATGTTGATTTTGAGCATTTACTGGAAAGACAGGTGGCTGACATTTGGGCTCTCACTGAAGGTAAGCATCATCCTGTAGGTCTAGCGCTGTGGGTTCAGATGTGGTCAGCCTGACTTTTGGCTTTCTCCCAGATGTTTGCTCCCTACATGCACCTGAGCAGCATAACCGTGATGGTGGTCCTTTCCTGGCCTGTGGCCTTCTACTTGATCCATTTGGAACAAGAAGGTATGTCATGTGGGTGGAACCTTGCCTGATCCTTTCAGCTCTGGCTTTTGCTTGCACACTCTTACTCAGCAAAACACAGGCTTGCTAGGTAGCCACCACTGTACCTCCTTGAAATTCGTTTAGCTTGTTACTCAGGCATGCTCTTTGTGGTCAGACTCACAACCCCATGTGGCCTGTCAGAGCATTTCCCTGACCAAACAGGCCTTCTTCTAAAGAGGGATTCTCCTTCTAGGAAAATAAGAATTATCTCCATGTTGTTACACATTGACTGTCTGGAAGTGGATTGGGGTGGGGGGAGATAGAAGCCATTTAAATTTTTTTTTGACCAGAGTGATGGTACTAGTCACACTTCTTTTAGTTTGTATTCAAATGTTACTAGTTTCAACGCATAAACTTATACTAGGTCCAGATATCTCTGGTTACATCATGTAACTCAAAGCAGGCCCCGTGAGTCCCTGTCCCACCTGGGGACTAAGATCAGAAGCAGAAATATCTACCTCTGCTACTGGTTTCCTCTCCATTCTTTGCCCTAATATCATGGAAACAAAAGAGGATCAGAGCTGTACACTAAATTGTTTTGAGAATAGAGTTCTGTCTCACCACCCTTACCTAGAAACCAGTAGGATCTTTTTTCTACGTCTCTTGTTTTACTGGTTTTGAAACAAGGAATGTTCGCCTCCTGACCTGTGAGAGGATGGAGACAGTGACTGGATTGGTAGTGTCGCTGCTGTGTGTTCGTACATGTGTGTATGTGTGTGTGGAGGGTGAATTGTAGGGGCGAGAGCTTCAAGGGAAAAATAATGAACTCTTCCCTTTTTCATTTCTAAAATTTTAGCTAGAATGAGAAGACGCAAGATGACACAGTACGAGAGAAAAAGAATGAAGAGATTTAATATACTCACAAAGTTGAGAGGTAAGAGCTGGAGATCTAGAGTTGAAAGTGATTGAAACATAGGTGATAACTGGAAAATGTACAAATGGGTAAAACGCTCAGAGGTGTATAATAATAAGTGTTGGGGAAAGGCTAGTGATAACAGGTACTGTGGACGTGGAGTGTGTGTGTGTGTGTGTATATGTGTGTGAGTGTGTGTGTGTGTGTGTGTGTGTGTGTGTGAGAGAGAGAGAGAGAGAGAAAGAAATACCTAATATTTATTGGTTACCTATTATGAATCAACACTGTCATAACAACTCTATGAAGTAGAATTTAGCAGCAAAACAGTCCCATTTTCAGAATGAGGACCCAGGGAGGTTAAGCAACATGTGCTTAGTCACATAATTAGACAGAGGCAGTGCCTGGCTTTGAACTCAGATTTTTGTCACCTAGTGCTCTTTCCACTATAATGTACTACCCTATGCATAGGGCATTTTAGGCTGATCTTGACAGGCTTCAGGGCTTTCTCAGAACTAGTCAGCCTACCTCTCCTCCTGAGAAGGTATTCCTTAACGTGACCTTCCTTTCCTCCCCACCTCCTGCACAATTCATTGTGTTGTAAATTTGCAGTCCCAGTACTATTACCTTAATAGTAATGCTTACACTTGGATAGCTCTGCACTTTCAAATCGCTGAAAGTAAGTGGTGATGTGACAACTAGAGAGTAAATCGGGCACTCCACAGATCCATGAAACCCGTGCACTGGGTATTGACTGGCTGCTGCTTTGGGATAGTTTGTTGCTTAGGATAGGTCTCTTCCTTTTTTCTCACTCCCTCTCCTTCCAACTTTTTCAGCTATACAAGTGGCTATTGGATTGCCCTTTTTTATTATTATTTTGTGTCTCTATTTGGCACCACTGGGGACTTATTCTCCCTGCATTCAGGAAAAGGATAAATTGGGACCCAAGCCAGACTTCTTTGGACATAGAGGTGCACCCATGGTAGGTCTGAGCATGGGTGAGTACAGGTGTGCATGGGGTGTATGGATGAGATTAGGGGACCTCAGAACCATAGGAACACTTGGAGATGAAAAGGGGTTGGCTTTAGATGACAAGAATAAAAAGTTAATTGTAGAGGTTGGACTGGAACCCAGGTCACCTAACTCTCAGTCCCTGTCTCTTTGCTGTGCCCAGTGACATTGCCTCACATGATCATAGCCCCAGAATCAGACTGGGTAGAGGAGAATATAGGCAAGCTCTCTGAAAAAAGAGCCGAGGGAGTCAAAGTCTGCTTTTTAAAGCACTTTGACTCCTGAGCTCCCCTACAAGGGATGTTCAGAGGAGAAAATCTGAGGTCCACAGGGCATGGTGTCCTTTTTTCCACAGCTGGGGCCTGAGAACACCATGATGTCCTTTGAGAAAGCTGTGGAAAACGGGGTCTTTGGGCTGGAGTCTGATGTATACTTAAGGTAGGAAAGCAGGGACCGGGGTAGGGAAGCGATGAGGCCAAGGCCATGGAAGAAGCCAACCTGGCCCGCGTTGTAGAGGGGACAAGCCCTAAGGAATTTCTCCTGTGTTTATATGCCACATATACACATAGAACACACACTTGAACCCCTTCTCCATTACCAATCATACATCTGTACCCCTACATTTCCAGTCATAAGCTCATAAATCGAACACTATATAGTCTCCACAGATAATTCAAATTTGTCCCTACTGCAAACCATGCTTAAAACTTAACCCCATGCACTACCTAGCCATCTGTTTACCTAACATTCCTGGACACCTGCTATATCCCAGGCCCTCTTCTGAGTGCTGTGGAGAGGCAAATGAATAAGATATACTTCTGCCCAAGAGATGTTCCCAGCCAGTGAAGGAGACATGGTGTGTTTACAAGTACCCACAGTGTAAGACCATTTGTGTGGAGTGCCTTCCAGAGAAGAATAAATCAAATGCAGTGGGACCTCAGTGGAGGAAAAGCCACCTCCTACTGCTTATCAATTCATCCACCAGTGAACATGCTGATTGCTTCCTCCTCTTAGCTATCTTGAATAATGTTGCTATTAACTTAGTGTACAAATATCTTTTCAACATCCTGATTTCAGTTCTTTTGTGTATATACCAGGAAGTAGAATTGCTGAATCATATGGTAATTCTGTGTTTAATTTTATAAGGAACTGCCATGCTGGAGAAAGGGCTTTTTAAAATTTGTGTATAAAATCCTTGGTAGAGCTTTGTATAACCCATGCAGGAGACCAGACAGAAGCAACACAGTAGAAGATCTGATAACTGAACGTTGGTCTGGAACACCATCCAGGTTTTAGATTGACCTCTGGGTAGCACATAATGAGAATGGGCAGTAAAGCACTGTGAAGCCTTTGAAAACCAAATTGGCAATTGAACCACGGCCCACAAACGTGGGCTAGGACATGTATTCTGAACCTAAACATGGTGCCTCTGCTAAAATTGATTTAAATAGGAACCAGAATCTCATAATACTCAACATAGCCAAGATACAATCCAAAGTTTTCATCATACCAAAACCTACAAAAATCTCAACGTGAATGAGAAAAAGTAATCAATAGATATTAACACCAAGAGAAACAGATATTGGAATTACCTAAGAATTTTCAAGTAGCTAGAATGAAATGTCTCCAACACACTACTGTGAACACCCATTAAACAAATGAAAAAATACAAAGTCTTGCCAAGAAATGGAACAAATAAGGAAGAGCCAAATGGAACTAAAAGTTCTTTAGACAAAAGAAATGATTTAAAACATCAACTTGTATACATATGAGGTCTGACAATTTGCGAACTTGTTGCAATGATGTTGTTAACCTTTTTTGATATCAGAGGGATTATGCATTATGAATTTGTGCCAACTGGACAAACAGCCAAGTTGACTACTTGGAAGTGCTAAAAAGGCTGCATGAAAAAGACAACCTGAACTTTTTCCAACAATTCATGGCTCTTGCATCATGACAATGCACCAGCTCACACGGCACTGTCTATGAGGGAGTTTTAAGCCAGTAAACGAATAACTGTATTGGAACACCCTCCCTACTCACCTGATCTGGCCCCCAATGACTTCTTTCTTTACCTGAAGATAAAGGAAATATTGAAAGGAAGACATTTTGATGACATTCAGGACATCAAGGGTAATATGACGACAGCTCTGATGGCCATTCCAGTAAAAGAGTTCCAAACTTGCTTTGAAGGGTGGACTAGGCTCTTGCATCGGTGCATAGCTTCCCGAGGGGAGTACTTCAAAGGTGACCATAGTGATATTCAGCAATGAGGTATGTAGCACTTTTTCTAGGATGAGTTCACAATCTTATTTGTCTGACCTTGTATATCAAATCATTATGTTGTATACTTTAGTATAATGTTATATGTCAATTATATCTTAATAAAATGGGTGAAAAATTCAACTTGGAACATCAGGAATAAAGAAAGAACAATGGAGAGGATAATGTATAAATAAATAAAACAGATAATTCTCCTCTTCCAGAGTTTAAAAATTATGTTTGATGTTTAAAATAAAAAATCATAACATTGTCTGATGTGGGCCTTAATATATTTTGATGTATTTAAGACAACTATACCATAAATAAAGGGTGTATGCTAAAGGTACCTAAAAAGTATTTTGTATTTCTACAATCTAATTGAAGTTGTAGAATTTTTGCACTAGTAGGATGTGATAAGTTAGGCATATATACAGTCATAGATCATTTGATGATGGGGATACATTCTGAGAAATGTATCATTAGGCGATTTCATTATTGTGCAAACAACACAGAATGCACTTACACAAACCTAGATGGTATAGTCTACTACACACTAAGCTATATGATGTAGCCTATTTATTGTTTCTAGGCTACAAACCTGTATAGTATTACTGTACTAAATACTGTAGGCAGTTGTAACACAATGTTAAGAATTTGTGTATCTAAACATCAAAAAATAGAAAAAGTACAGTAAAATATATAAAATATAAATGTGTGTGTGTATGTGTGTGTTTATGCACATGCATACATGCACATTGGTGGGACTAGAAGGGCTGTGGAGGGAGGTGCTCTCTGTCGGAGGGAGAGTAAATGTCAGGAGGAGAGAGGGAAGAGCAGCGGTGAGAAAGGGATAACCCAGATCAAACAAGATCCAGAGAAAGATAAAGCTCCAGACAAGAAATAGTAAAAGCGAAAGGGGAAGGAGATGGGGAGAGAGAGAGAGGGAAGGAACAGACAAGACTGGGAGGAAAGAGAGATAAATAGAAACTGAGTGAAGGGAAGTGAGTTTGTGCACACGAGTGTGTGTGCGTGCACATGTGCAGGGGCAGGCGGGGCTCGGGGTACAGTGGACTTCTAGGCTCCACTCCCTCCCCAGCCCTTCCCTTCTCGCTCCTTGGCCAACTCCAGGCCCAGCCACAGGTGAGCACAGGGCATGTGGACAGCATGCTGAGCCTCCTTGTTTATTTAAACCACCAAGAGCAGGCAGTAAATTCAGCATCTTAGGTCCAGCCTTATTTTTCTGCATCGCAAACGTTTTGCTTATAAACCATTATAATCATATGCGACCAACATCGTATATGTAGTCCATCATTGACTGAAACGCCATTATGCAATGCACTTCTGCACTGTAATCTCTAGGGTAACCATACCAAAAATTTATACAAAGAGATAAAAAACACTATAGATAAAAAAGTTCAAATAACCAACAGGAAAGCCAGAAAGAGAAAATGGAACAAAATCAGAGGGAACAAACATAAAACTAATATTAAAATGGCAGACTTAATCCTAACATATCAGTAAATATATTAAATATAAATGATCTAAATATACCAATTAAAAGCACTATCCATAAAAGGCAAAAATGATAAATGGGACCTCATCAAAGTGAAAAACGTTTGCTCTGTGAAAGACCCTGTGAGAAGGATAAAAAGAAAAGTGTCACACTGGGAGACAATATTTGTAAATTGCATATCAGACAAAGGACTCCGATCTAGAATATATAAGGAACTCTCAAAACTCAACAGTATATATAAAAAAAATAAGTCCCAAACACTCCAAATAGAACATGGACAAAAGCCATGAACACACATTTTACAGAAGAGCATATACAGATGGCAAATATGCACCTGAGAAAGTGTTCAACTTCACTAGCCATTAGGAAAATGCAAACAAAACTAAAATTACTACTCACCTATCAGAATGGCTAAATTAAAAAACAGTGATAACTTCAAATGCTGGAGGACAGACTGGATTATTCATACATTGCTGTTGAAAATGTAAAATGGTATAACTGCTCTGGTAAGTTTGGCAGTTTCTTGCAGAACTAAACAGGTGCTAACCATATAACCCAGAAACTGCACTCCTGGGCATTTACCCCAGAGAAAAGAAAAATTAATGTTCATACAAAGATCTTTAAATTTTTGTTCATAGCAGCTTTATTAACAATAGCCAATATCTGGACAACCCCAATGTCCTTCAAGAGGTTCAAGAGGTCAAACAGACTGTGGTGTATCCATACCACAGAATTTTACTCAGCAATAAAAAGGAATGACCTATTGATACATGCAACAATCTAAATGGATCTAATGGGAATTATGCTAAATGAAAAAAGCCAGTCTCAAAACGTTATATACTGTATGCTTCCATTTATACATCACTTTCAAAATAAGATTAAAATGATTGGAAATAAATCAGTGATTTAGCAGGGTGAAGAAGGGTGAGAGAGCGGGGTAGCTGTGGTTATAAAAGGTAGCACAGGACTGTTCTTATATCTTTACTGCTCTGAGGAGGGCAGAGAACCTCATTCTGTACTTTACACTTTATACAGAAATTAACTCTGAATCACAAATCTTGTGTAAAATGTAAAACTAAAACTTGTAGCAAATATCACAGGAGAAAAATCTTTATGACTAGAGTTAGGTGACGTGTTCTTAAAGATGACACCAGAAACATGAACCATAAAAGAAAAATTAAGTTGGATTTTATCAAAATAAAAAAACTTTTGCTCTGTGAAAGACCCTGTGAAGTGGATGAAAAGACGAGGTAGAGACTGGCAGAAAATATCTGCAAACCCATGTCCAACAAAGGACTTACATCTAGATTACATAAAGAGCTCTCAACTACTAAACAAGCGCTTTAGAAAATAGGCAAAAGATATGAACGGACACTTCACCCAAGAGTATAGGCAGATGACAAACAAGTACATGAAAATATGGTTGAAATCATTAGCCATTAGAGAAAAGCAAATTAAAGCCATGATGAGACACCCCTACACTGCTATCACAATGGCTGAAATAAAAAAATATTGGCTACCAAACCCTAACAAGGATGAGGAACGACTGATTCTCTAATACATTGTTGGAGGAATGTAAAATGGTATAGCCACGCTGCAAATCAGTTCAGCAATTCTTCTAAAGTTAAATATTCACTAACCATATAACCCAGCAATTGCACTC